TTTATGTTATATCGATGATATTATCATATTTGGTTGTGAATTTGAAGCTGCACTTGCAAACTTAAAGTTGGTTTTCGTTAGATTACGTGATGCTAATTTAAAACTTAAACCCAGTAAATGTAGGTTATTTCAGACTCAAGTAACGTTTTTAGGGCATGTCGTGTCTGCTTCTGGTATTGAATGCGACCCGGAAAAAATAAAATCTGTCAGTAAGTGGCCTGAGCCCGAAAATTTAAAGGATGTGAAAAGTTTTCTTGGGCTGTCAGGGTATTATAGGAAATTTATCGAAGATTATGCTTCTATCGCTAGTCCTTTAGTAAATTTAACTAGAAAGGATGTGAAGTTTGATTGGGGTAATAAATGTAAATCTGCTTTTGGAGAACTAAGGAGAAAATTGACTTCTCCACCTATACTAACATTCCCAAACGAAACTGGTCTGTTTATTCTTGACACGGATGCTAGTGGTAAAGCGTTAGGTGCGGTCCTTTCTCAAGTACAAGATGGAGCAGAGAGAGTTGTCGCATATGCCAGTAAGACATTGAATCGGTCTCAAGGCAACTACTGCGTAACAAAGCGTGAACTTTTGGCAATTGTCACATTCATGAAGTATTTTCATTATTATCTTTAAGGTCGTAAGTGTTTGGTTCATACTGATCATGCTTCTCTAAAGTGGTTGCAGAATTTTAAAAATCCTGAGGGTATGCTAGCCAGATGGTTGACAACGTTGCAAACTTATAACTTTGAAATTGAATTACGTAAGGGTAAAATGCATGGAAATGCTGACGCACTCTCTCGTCTCCCAACTAATAAGTGCTCTAATAACTTCTGCACCGATTGTTCTGAAATAGTCCCAGATGGTGATTCAATAGGATTGACTGAGGAACTGGAAAGGGCAGGTTTAAGCCGGCCGCTCGACCAGTTTTCCGATCAAGCAAATGTGTCTAGGACAGTCGTCAATACATTAATAAGCGATCAAAATGTACCTCATGATTCTAATTGGCTTCCTACTTATAATGTTCTTGAGATCCAGGATATGCAAAGGAATGATCCTGGAATTGGTGTCATTTATAAAAGTCTTGTAGAATCTGGAGTTCGACCAGATAAATCGAAAGTGAAATCTTTTCAACACGAAGCTCGACTGCTTTGGTCTCAATGGGATGATTTAGTAATGAGGTCGAATATATTGTATCGAAAAGCTGTTAATGATCTTGATGAAGAATTTTTACAACTCGTTGCTCCTCAGGAGATCCGGGATAATCTTTTTACGGAATTACATGTTAACAAAATTGCAGGTCATTTTGGTCGGGATAGAACCCTTCATACCATTAAACGTAGATTTTACTGGCCTGGGATGACAGCTTCAATTAAAAGATGGTGCGAAACTTGTGATTTATGTGCACGATGTAAACCCGGTCCGGGAATAGGAAAGTCACCCCTTAAGCAATTTCAATATGGTGCGGCCATGCAGTGTATTGCCATTGACATCTTTGGTCCGTTACCGTTCACTGATGATGGAAATGAGTATGTTATGGTCGTAGGAGACTATTATACCAAATGGGTGGAAGCTTTTGCCTTAGTCAATCATACTGCTCTTACTGTCGCGGACAAATTGGTCACCGAGGTCATTTGTAGATTTGGATGCCCTGCACAAATCCATACTGACCAGGGTATGGAGTTCGAGTATGCTTTATTTACAGAAATATGTCGGAAACTGGACATTGACAAGACTCGTACTACTCCATACCATCCTCAGTCAGATGGCTTAGTTGAACGGTTCAATCGAACTTTGAAACAGATGCTTAAAATTTTCTGCAGTGAGCACCAGAGTAATTGGGATGATTACCTTCCATATCTGTTGATGGCATATCGTGGGACAGTCCATAATTCCACTGGTTGCTCACCTAATTTACTGATGTTAGGTCGTGAATTGTCTTGTCCGGTTGATTGAATGTTTGGGCTACCACCAGATTATAGTGAAGTTTGCACAATAGGATATTCAGAATGGCTGCAATCTGCTATGAATGCTTCCTTTTATTTCGTTTTTGATAATTTGGGGAGTGCAGCTAGAAGACAGAAAAAGGGTTATGATAAGGATTTGAGATGTAAATCGTTTGAAGTAGGAAAGTGCTAATACAAAATTATCTTTGGGATGGACTGGTCCGTACTTAGTTGTCAATAGGAAAAATGACTTGATATATGTGGTACAGAAGTCTGAGATGAGCCCTCCAGTTTCGGTACATGTTAACCATTTAAAGAAATGTGTAGGTAATGAAACTCCCAGGAACTGGCTTGATCCGGGCGAAGAGTCTTCATATGATGAAAGTCTTGAGCTTGAATCCGAATTTGAGGATTCTTGCAGCAGTTCGGATGAGTCTGAAACCTGCGTGGTAACCAGAACTGGCAGACGTGTACGTAAAAAAATTCCCTTCTCTCCAAAAAATTAGTTGGGAAAATATGTAGGCTGTTACATATTATTAGGCTAGGTGTACTAATGATTTCTTACTTTCAGAAATGGATTTACAACTTAAAGTGGACCGTGCAGACTTAAGGGAATTTCAAAATTCTTTAAGGGAAGAGTTCCCTGATGATGGTCTACGATGTAGAGTTGTTGGGTGCATGTAATGAATAAAAGCCGATTCATGAAACATTGGAGGACTTACCATACCAGATGTGTTGTCAAATTTACCTGCTGTATTTGCAACTGGAGTTTTAACAATAAACCTAAAGTAAAGCGGCATATGAAAACTCACCATGATAAGTTGGGGGGTGGTTTTTCCTCAGAGGAGGTGGTGAATACCAAATACATCGATCCCATTGATGTAAAGTAAAGCGGCATATGAAAACTCACCATGATAAGTTGGGGGTGGTTTTTCCTCAGAGGAGGTGGTGAATACCAAATCCATCGATCCCATTGATGTGTTGCCGCCTTTAAAATACGGTGCTGCGAAACCCAGACAGATGAATCAGTCTTCTGGTTTAGTTGCGTCTTCCTCCATGTCAAGAACGGAGTATGACTTCACCTTGACAGTGTGGGAAGATGGAAAAGTGATGTTACAGAAGCCTGGTGATGATACAATAACCGCACCAGGTGATGAGATCGACCAGCTTGACTGGGATTTTGTATAATATAATTTTGTTTGTGATGTAAAATATTTTATGTATTATTGTTCTCGCCCACTTTTGTTGAGAGCGGGCTCGACTTTGGCAAGGGGGGAGTGTAGCGGATTTGCTTAAGTACGTCACTCATGTCAGTGATATTTACATGGTATTCTCTTGCTGGCTATTTTTAGACTTGGTCGAACTTGATTTACATGGCCGGGCTTTACCATTTAGACTGTGCATGGTATGTTACGTGGCAGAGCCTCGCATTTATAGTTGTGATGAATCCTTATCCAATGGGAGCAGATATTTGGCACGTGCAAGTGCAAAATCAGAGTGTATAAAAGCTCTTCTGTAGCGTTTGTTAGTCGGTCAGTCGGAGCGTTGCACATGGTAAGTGATCTCCGAAAGGTGTATGGGAGTTTCTTGACTCCGCTCATGGACTTCTAGTAATAACTTGCTGTGGACTGGCTATGCCTGATAGGGAGTTCTAAGAACTCCGCTCTATTTGCAACTCACGGAACCTTGTTTGGGTGTAGGGTTTTGTTTTGTAGATGTTTTGTATGTGAATATGTTTATGTTATAAAACGTCTTGTGTAATCTTCTTCTCTTATTTTCTCACATTTCACAGTATTCTGAACCTGGAACGTACGCAGGTGGGATTGAGTTGTGCGGGAGCAGCGCCGCCCCTTTCCCTACTGCTACACCTTTACCTGAAATATTTGCAATTGTTACCCTTAATATTTTGTATGAAATTAGTTCTTTACTTTGCACAATTTGTGATAAAGTAACAATTGGTTGCACTCTTTACTTCAAAAAAGGGAACTTTAACATAAATGACCTTGTGTACCTTGGCATGTCATGTCATATCTCTTTTATTTGACCTAAGTTGACCTTTTGACCAGAACAAAGGTTATTGTGCTTGACGAGATCTATTCAGACATATATTCATTTTTGTTGTACGATGTTTACTGCCAGTTTTACAGCTATTTAAAAATTGATATTTTAATACCAAATATTAACACTGTTTAATACCGAATGTTGTAAAATTTGTGCATCTTGTCACTACAGAATCTCACTATGACTTTATAATTCAACCTTTCGCTGCTGTTTCAGGTTCTTCGAACGCACTTCTTTGTTTTGCAAACGACTATTTTGTTTTTGCAGTGCATTCATCAAACACACTGCTTTGTCTTGCAAAAGACTATTTTTTTTTTTTTACCTTTGCATGTTTTCTAAGAAGGAAACATGCTACAGACTGTCTGTTGCTGTTTTCTAGTCAAAATATTGGACAATTATTTGTTAAATGTAAATTGGCACCATTTTGACCAACCGGAAATGAGCGGTGGATTATGACTCTTTTTTAATTATCAGCTTTGATACTGATCTGAATTTGCTCAAAATTTTTTGTTTATTACTTCGCGTTAATGACTACAAGAATCGACAATTTTGACTTTTGTTGTCGACTTTTTGAGCTCCAATTTTTGAGTTTTTTAACCTGAAAACTTACAGAGGAATAGACATTTTTATTGCGAACAAAAACTAACTTTCGATATTTCGATATCACTTCAGGTTATGACACTATTTGCTTGTAAAATATAAAATTTAACTTCCTGAATTTTTAAGGTATTTCAAAAATTCTTTTACAAATGGTCTTACAAAAACCTTCTAATCATAAAATCCTACCCGGAAGTAACAGAGTAGCCGCCATATTGATATGTCAAACTTTAGTAAAATTCAAAATGGGGCCTCAGCTTTTCATTAAAATTATTTTTTTTAACACTTTTCCATACAGATATGTATACTTATCTAAATGAAATTAAAAGAGTGGCTATGAAGTTTTCTTATATCTGAAAATTTTTTCTTGAAACTGAAATATATGTTATCTTTGTACATTCTAGTGTTGGTCAAAGACAACTTGTTTGCTTAGCCAGAACTCTTTTAAGAAAGACCAAAATATTAGTGTTAGACGAAGCTACCGCAGCAGTTGATATGGAAACTGATGATCTTATCCAACAAACTATTAGACGAGAATTTAAAGAGAGCACTGTGTTAAGTATTGCTCATAGACTCAATACTGTAATGGATTATGATAAGTAAGTGTATTTACATATTTGACACATATTAACCGATTTCGAGTTGACCTCGAAAGTGTATTGTTATCATTAACTTTTTAGTAAATATTATTTTTTCGTTCATATTGTTGTCAGAGGACATAGCAAAAACTGTAATAGTGACAACATTTATGGTGCCAGCCATATCATACTGCAGAATTCAAATATTCAAATATATTTCTAGACATCAGACTAGTGGTGTAGTGGAAAAATCCTGATGGCTTGATTTTCCTGTGCATTTTTTGGGTGTATTTTATTCTTACTTTTTGTACTGAATTTTGGTCAAAATTTCTGTGTTTACAAATTCCAAATCGTATAGATGCAAAATTGAAAAACATAAAAAAATCGTAGAAGTTTAATGTAGTTTACACTTTAATCTGATTGTTCTCAGATTTGTTGTGAAGTTGAAAAGTACTGGGGCCCTCCAGAAGCCCCTTTCTTTGAATTCCGACTTGGCATAACTTGCTGTCAAAGTTTTTTCAGACAGGCCAAATTCTGAAGGCTAATAACTTCTGCACCTGACCTTCGGCAACCGTCATCTTTTACAGAAATATCTGCTTTCTCTAAATTTCAAAAGACACCTAGATTTGTTTTTTTGATCAATTACCTTTGGTTATATTGAGCTCTGAAAATGGGTAATCTGCACAATTTTGTATATTCAAAGTGATATTATTCCAATGTGCTTGTCATTAGATTTCTAACAATTTCTTTACTTTAGTTGTCAGCCTTAAACTTTCTGAAATAAGCATTATTGAAAATTTATGATTTTAATATTCATGTGGACTTTTGAGTTCTAATCAACTAAGCGAGAAACTTCACACTGAATTATAATGTTCTAATTCACAGCTTTAAATAAAAATATAAATTATTTGGCATGCAAAAAGGATTTAAAAAGATTATGTAACCAGGTCAGCATATCATAGGGGGTTAATGTGAAAATAGGTGATTTTAATATTGATGCAGACCCTTGTTGTGAGTTCTAATATACTTAGTGGAAATTTAGAACATCACCAATGTAAATAAATATAAACCCTGTTTAACACAGATCGATCAGCTTTCGAGCTAGTTTACATTCTCAGCATTTATATTTACTAAAATATGAATGGGAATAGACTGTCATTGTTTGGAAATGTTTCCAACTGTAAAAATATCTTTAATAGATCATTTCAAACAGCGAGGTTTGGAATTTTAGGGTTGTCCACTAGGTGTGAAATTAACACTGTTTGACTTTATAACCTGTTTCACAATCTTCTTAACTCTATAATTCTCTTCTAAAAATTTGGGGAAATGTCCATTTGAGAGTAAATTTTATCACGAGTTACTCTCAGAGAGTTCGTGCAAGAAACTTTCAAGTGCTCTTCCACCTGAGAGACAAATTGCATCAGCTTGCAGGTCGCAGATTTGGATGCAAGTTGCATGACATCTTACCAGTTTGCTTGTCAACTTCCGATTCAAAAATGTTGTTGTCAATGAAAAGGAGTATTGCCTCAGCAATTGTTATAATAAATGGAAGGAAGAAACAGAAAATAAAGGTTGCAAAAGGTTAGGGCATGGATTGAGTGAGGAGAGACATTAGGACATTTGTAGTGCATCGGCTAAGATCTTCCACTCAGCACTTTTTTTTTCTGCTTGTCTCGGAACTCAGTAGACTGAACATCCTAAAGCTCAGAAAGAGTTTCATATTCTGTGATGAGGCATTCAATCTCCTCATGTGTCCAGTACGTTTCGACATATTTTAAGTGGTATGATAAATAAATTGATAAAAAGCTGATAGTTCTCGCAGGCATAGAACACAGTTCCATTCTTCGAGAGTACTCTCAAACAGAAATTTGAATTGAAACAGTTTCTAGCCAACCCCTTTCCACTAGACAGAAAATCACTTGCCCTATTTCTATTGACAGTTGAATTTGGATCCCCTTCCACTTGAGGGAAAATCGCACACTATAAAACTCTCAAGTGGACATCCGGCTTAAGTTAATTAGAACTTACACAACAGTCTAACCCTCTATGAACTGCTGATCTGACATGTTACATAATCTTTTATAATGTATATTATTTAATATATATATATTATATATATCTAAAGCTGTAAAAAAAAGTACATTATGAATCTGTTCAAATTTTTCCGTTAAGGTAATAAGAACTCAGTCTAGCGTTCATTCACCTAAATCAAAAAGTTTGAGGTTGACAATTAAAATAAAAAGATTGTGGTAGAAAGCTTATTACTACATTATTAGTTCATTATAATAACATCAAATTAAATCGGTGAAAAAGTTCATGTTATACAGGAAATCGTGCAAAGACAAAGTAGAAATTAAAAAAAGGGCTTCTAGAAGACCTTGAATTTTGTCTTACATTTTAAAGCAAGTTTGAGAACAATTCAATGAATCAGTAGTCTGAATTGAATTTTAGAGATTTTTTGCATTTTTGAACATGGCAGCTAAACGGTTAGAAATTGGCAAAAAGGTAAAAAAATGAAGATATTGATGATTTTCTTGAATTACAACTTTTCAATTTTTTTATAATTTTCAGGCTTGTTTTAGAAAATGGTTTTTATAATCATAATTGATAATTTTTTCGACTCGAAAGCCGTAATAAAATATTATGCATGAACAAAATTTTGTGAAATATTTAAAAAAACTACTATTATTTAATCAAGCTTGTAAGGAGTTAAAAAGATTATGTAACAAGTCATGGAGTCAAAGGGTGATAATTTCACTCAAACCTTTGTAGTTCTGTTTAGGACAATTGTTGTACCAAGAATGAGGAAGTTCATAGAAACTCCTACGTTAAGCACTGGCAGAGTGTAAACTAAGCAAAAGAAAGTAATTTTGCAAGAGTAAATACATTTAAATCTTAAACCTGAAAATAAAAAGCATGTACCTTATTAACCTAGAAGGTTTATTTTTTCGAAGTCTTTTGCAATTTGTTACACTTGCAAAGTTCCATTCTGTGCCACGTGTGGCTCTAGTTATTGTTGGGATTCTATATTGTAAATGAAAAGCAGCTACAATATCAGCAATTTTGTCATTGTTGGCATTGCTCCAAGAGACCACAAAATTACACATTAAATTTATTTCCAGTTTGTATAACTCAAAACTCATCCATAAATTATCTTGAAAGAACTTCCGAACTGACTGCAATTGGCTGGAAATTTTATAGTTTTCAGACTATGCTGGCAGATTTGTAATTCCACAACATTTGTACCATCAATATCTTCATTTTGTATGCAAAAATCTTAACCGTTTGATGCACAATAAATATAATGGTTGCAGACTTTTTTTTATCCAACTTGTTTTAAGATGTTTGTTGGAAAAATATCTAAATCCTGTAGTGGCCCTTTTTTTCATGTCATGTTTTTAATGCTATAAATTGGCATGCACGGTTTGTTATGCAATCGATTATTTTTTTATATTGTCGTTGCCCCTGTCCGTCGGTCAACATTTCTTGTGAGCACTATAGAGAATGGTTTTTGAGTTATTGCCCTTGACTTTGTTAAAAGGCTTCGAAATTTGTAAAAAAAAGTTCGTGAGCAGGATTGAAGCTACAGTTCTCAACCGATACTGATGAAACTTGGTGTGATCATTGGAATTGATAAGATCTCGGACAAATTCTAACTTGACACATTTTCGATGAACGGTTTTTGAGTTTTTGCCCTTGAATTTGTTAAACGCGTCGAAATTTGTTAAAAATAGTTCGTGAGCAGGATTGAAGCTACAGTTTCAACCGATTCTGAT